TATAAGGGGAAGGCCTTGGGCCTGATGCCAGTTTGAGAGGTTTCTGCTTTGGGCTTTGTGGGGTGGGGATTGTCGTAAGATCAACGAGGTCAGCCTTAAAGTTCTAAGAAGAGCCTGACTCACTCACTCAGACTTGTCATTATTTCTTAAACTGAAGACCCGCGCTTTCTTACAAAGTGGCTTCTGACTGCCAATTAGAAGCTATTGTCTCCCCTGAAAGCATCAATTCTAATAGCAATTCACTTGGGTCCAATTGTGTGGTTTGGAATGAGGACAGCAGCGAGTCAAGTACTTTAAATCTGGTTCTGGCTCCCAGGGCTTGGTGACACTTTTTGTGCAAGCCAGTCTCGGTCTAAAGTTAGCACCAGTGTCCTTCCAGGCAGGAGACAGGGACATGGGTGGGACAGAGCTGTCTTTGCGCGCAGAAGAGAACTGCAGGATGCGCTTTAGGCTCTACGACCTCAAGTCAACTCCACCAATCCTCATTTCCAATTCCCTTCTCTTCCTTTTCCTATTTGAGGCGAGGCAAACCCTGGACCGAGGCGCTGCACTGGCTGACAGGAGTTCCAGGACTCGCTACCCAGTCTGGCCGTGCCTACCTCGCAGCCCTACCCTGCAGGCAGAACCCAGAAAAAAACTTGTAGCTTGAAGAGAATTCTAGAAAGGAGATCCCGCAGATGCAGATGATTTCCTGAATACATCAAATAAACCGCCAGATAAGAATGGAGTTTGTAGAGACACTTGTTCCCACGGCTTCTGTCTTCCAAATTGGGCAGAGGGCAGGAAAGGCATAATTCTTGGAATCTGAAGAAGGAACAGAAACTCTCAACCTCAGAAGTCTGAAAATATACTCTCACCAAGAAAAACTTCAGTGTAAAGTGATCCCCAAAGAACTGCTAGTACTTGTAGGACCATAAATTTCAGATATGCCTGAAAACTATGTAAAAAACAAAAACTCGCATTGGTCTTTGGATTTCAAAGGCTCCCTGTCAAACGGCTCTATTGCTGAGCTCTATGGCTCTGCTAACTTCCCACAAGCACAACTTCTCCCATCAGACCCGCTTAGCCATGACCTCTCAGACACTCACGCGGTGGCCTTGGTGGCTCAGCTGGCTATCGGCACTTGCTGTCAAGTTGTTTTTGTGTGCGCACGTGTGCACACATTTAGAAGTAAGACCCGCCTAGAAAAGAAGCTAAGGTTGTGGGGATACCTGACCAGATCCCTAAAATTCATAACACAGAAGTCTGCAGGTTAAGGAAAGAGAACACAGTTGAGTTAAGAAAACTAAGCAAGTCACAGTGGCTCACTCTGGTAACCCTAAATAACACTCAAGAGGCAAAGGCAGGAGGATTTCAAGTTTGAGGTGGTCTGGGCCCCATACAGAATTAAGCCTTATCTCAGAACTGCAAACTAGGCCAGGCGTGGTAACTCTGGCCTTCAATCTCAGCTCTCAGAACACAAAGACAGGAGGATCTCCGTGAGTTTGAGGCTAACCTGGTCTATGGTGAGCTTCAGGATAGCCAGGAATGCATAGAGAGACCTTGTCTCAACAAAAATGCAAACCAGAGACTGAAGAGATGGCTCAGTAGTTAGGAGCACTTGCTCTTGCAGAGGACCTGGGTTTGATTCAGAGCACCATATGGTGGCTCACAACAGTCTGTAACTCCAGTCCCAAGAAATCTGATGCTTTCTTTTGACTGCAGCCACCAGGCAAGCACTGACCTCTGAGGGCACTAGGCATGTATGTGGTACACAAACACACACAGACCAAAACACTTATACACAAAATAAATCTAAAAGAATATTTTTCTTTTTTCTTTTTGTTCCAAGACGGTTTCTCTATGTAGCCCTGGCCGTCCTAGAACTTGTTATGTAGACCAGGCTGCCCTCTAACTCAGAGATCCTCCTACCTCTGCCTTTGGAGTGCCAGGATTAAAGGTGTGCACCACTATACCCAGTATTTCAAGGCTTATAATGGTCTGCCCCATGTAACATATTTTTAAAGACAATATTTTTTGTGTACATATGTGTGTGCTTGTATGAGTTTATGTGCACCATATGTGTGTAGGTGACTGAGGAGGCCACAAGAGGGCATAATATACATGGGACTGAAGTTATGGGTGGTTGTGAATTACTATGTAGGAGCTGGGAACAGAACCCTGTGTCCTCTGCAAGAGTAGTAAGCATTCTTAACTGCTGAGTATTTCTCCAGCCCTATGTATATATATTTTTTAAATTTTTAAAAATTTATTCTTACCTTATGTACATTGGTGTTTGGCCTGCATGTGTGTCTGTGTGAAGGTGGCAGATCCCCTGGAACCGGAGTTACAGATGGGTGTGAGCTGCCGTGAGGGTGCTGGAGATTGAACCCGGTCTTCTCGAAGAGCGGCCGGGGCTCTTGACTGCTGAGCCATCTCCAGCCCGTATGTTCTTATTGCTTAGTTTGTCCACTTGGTGGTTCACCTTTCTGGTATTTTGTTAGTGAAGGTGTTGGAAACTTCAGAGCAAAAGTTTTGAGATGTGAAATAGAACCATTCTGGATGAACGTTCTCAGCAATGTCCATCGACATTTCCTGGGAAATACAGGTACAATGGCTGCCTCTAACTTCAAGAGATGGAGCGTTAATGTGGGAGAGGGTTAAGGCAGCTGAGTGCAGATACAGATCCCTGAGGGTCAGCTCTGCTGCTGGGCTGAGAGATGACAGAGTGACTGTGAGAACAAAAGCAGCCCCATCTTAGTGTCAGAAGCGACTATCACGGGACCGGTGAGATGGAAGTCAGGAAGGACTCGTTTCCAAGCCTGGACCAGCGGGAGGAGAGAACCAGCTCCCCCAAGCCACCCTCTGGCCTCCACACACACACCACAGCCCATGTGTGTACACACACAGATGTTTTAAAAATCATTCACATATATTAGAAAATTAAGCGTAGCTTTGTTCTTATGGTCCTTGAGTTTAAAGGGACAAAATAAAACCTTAATAGGCAATAAAAGTAATCTACCAGATTTTTTGGCTAATAAGTATTTTTGTGCTGATGGATGCAAATCGTTTATAAATTACTAACAGAAGAGAATTATCTCCTTACCTGAATCAGGCTAGTCAGGAAGACATAATTCATGGAAAACCTTTTCTGATTCTCTGCTACTCTCGGGAAAAGAGAAGTTGGCAGGCACACAGAAGTAACCTTCAGGAAGCTGCCCCACCGTTCCGTTAATAAGCACCATCACTTCTGAAATCCCATGGACATAAAAGGGCTAACATCAAAGGAGTTTTTCAAATTCTTGGAAGAGAAGACATGGCGATTCATGCCTTGAGAGGTAAAGACAAAGGCGGGAGTTCAAAGGTCGTTCTCAGCTACATCTGAGTTAAGGATAACACGAGCTATAGGGGTTTCTGTCCCCCACCCTTCGCCTCCCCTGCAGAATACTCAGTGCCACAGAGGCCCAAAGCCACACCTCCCTACTCAACATAGGCAAGAACTCCACACATATGAAACACCCACTGGTAGGGCTCTGGGGAGGAAGGCTGTCTTAGACGGTAGTGCTGTTCTCCATGGGTCCAATGATGAAGCTATTAGGATTGGCAGGAAAGTGAGTGCTGGCTCCCCTTGAACCTGCCCTGAGGCCCACGCTCATGAAGGCATTACTTTCATCCCTGAGAGTCACTTCAAGACTGCTGGCAAACAATTTCTCCCGTGAGTACACATTTGTGTCCTACATTAACAGATAGAGAACTATTTCATCGATCGAAAGGCCAGTGTGAGCAGGATGCTCAGGAAGCGCTGCCATGGAGATCCTCCTCGAGATCTTGTTAATCACACAGCAGCGAGTCAGACACTCGCAGTAAACCGTACCAGCTGGGTTTTGTGTACAAACACTCCCCCACCATCATTTCGTCAGCTGAGCCTTATTAACCACAAATAAATTGAAGAGCAGGGAAAACACAATTTAAAAGAAGGATAACGAGCATTTTCAGAAAAATCAGTCCTGGTCCCATGTGAAAGTCTAATAAGGCTATTAGGCACAATGTAATAAAACCAGCACACAGTGGGAAAAGGACCAAAGAACCCGTCTTCTGCAAAAAATGGTGTGGCGCATACTAGGTGAGGATGAAATACGTGCTATATTTTAATATAATAGTTACTTTCAGAGAAACATTTTTATAAAGTACAAAATTCATTTTCAAAATCAGTATTTTTTTTAACATTTTACTGGTTCAGGATATGAACATTCACTTCTGGCTTTAAAAGCTGGTAAGACTATCAAAAAAAAAAAAAAAAAAAACCAAACAGGGGGGGCTGGAGAGATGGCTCAGAGGGTAAGAGCACTAGCTGCTCTTCCAGAGGTCCCGAGTTCAATTCCCAGCAACCACATGGTGGCTCACAACCATCTGTCATGATATCTGGTGCCTACCTTGCCAGCAGTACATTGTATGCTTAATAAATAAATAAATAAAAAACAGGGAAAAAAATTGCAGCTTTTCTTGCCAGGTGGTGGTGGTGCACACCTTTGATCCCAGCACTCGGGAGGCAGAGGCCACAGATTTCTGAATTGGAGGCCAGCCTGGTCTACAGGTCTAGTTCCAGAACAGAGAGGGCTGAGCAGAGAATTAGAAAAGAGAAAAGGTTTCAAACGTTCTCTGTTCTACCTTTGTGATTCTCTTTGTCCATAGTTGATTTATTCATTTTGAGATAGAGTCTTGCTACACAGCCTAGACTAGTACTGACCTTGCTAGCCTCTGCTGCAGCCTTTCAAGCTCTGGAATTGCGGGTGTATGTCACCACACCCAGCTATTAACAATTTAACTGAAGTCTTGCTGGGAGACGTCAGGTGATATTTTTATAGAGCAGAGAAGCACCATAAACCCAGCACAGAATAGGAAGAGGCAGGGAGTGAAGCTCAGGGGACCAGCAGGGAGGGTGAGCGGGAGGAGGCTGAGCCAGGGCTTCAAGGGAAGCAAACCGGCCCTTAGTGTTCAGCATCCTCACACAACGGAAACGGAGAGGCTGGGGAAACTGCTCAAAACAATAGCCACACCCTCAAACGTAAGTCAGTACCAAATACAAAATCATTACCACTTTATTACTAAATCAGCTGACAAAAGACAGGTGTTATAAGGCAAACTCCTGAGTCCATGGATCCGTCGGCTTGAGTGCATCTGCTCCAGGAGACTGATGTACCCGACCTGCACACGTCAGGCTGACCCGGCACCGCTGCGTTGTTCTGTGCTGCGCATGCTCTCTGCTCACAGCTTTCCCGTAACTCCTCACAGATCCCTAACTCTGTTTCCATGGTGGTTCTCAGGAGGTGCGGACTGCTGCAGGCTCTGCCTTGTATCACAGCCTTCCGCTTTTCCAAACAGATGCCAGGCACGGGCCAGTTTGCGAAGTTTAGCAATATTGGGTTTTACCTATGAGAAGAAAGAGAATAACTATAATTAACAATAGGAAAAGCTGGATAAGTTTTATTATTTTTTTCTAAGTACTTCAAAGTATGGCTCCCCAAATGTGTTTAGATTTCTCCTTTCTGAACTCAGAAAAGATGGTAGTGTCCCTCAGAATGAAACTCTAAGTCTGGATTTTTATCTCCTAGTAATGGGGATAGAAATTTCTCAAAGAGGTGGGACTTTGTGGAGGGGTAGTGGGCCTGTTTTGCCTGTGCAACACGTATGTGCATGCCTTGTGTCTGAAGAATCCAGACAGTGCCAGGTCTCTTGAAACTGAAGTTGTTGACAGTTGTGAGCTGCCTTGTGGGTGCCAGGCGTCAAACCCGGGCCCTCTGGAAGAGCAGCCAGTGCTCTTAACCACTGAGGCATCGCTCCAGTCCCATAAAATAAAGAGTTTTAGTGGACAGTCAGGGAACAGTAATGAAATCTCCATGCAGGAGAACCTTCACAGCATCGGCAAGAGAGAGAAGAGAGCCCCAGGAAGCAGCACACAGTGGCCCGTGTACACACACTCACGTCTGTGTCATTTAAAATCGTAGCAGGAGGCTGGAGAGACTGGGCTAAGAATATTGACTGCTCTGCCAGAGCACATGGGTTTAATTACCAACAGCCATGTGGTGGTTCACAGTTATCTGTAACTCTAGTTCCAGCAGATCTGACACCCTTCTGGCCTCCATGGGCACTGTACACACACGGTGCATAAGCATACACGCAAGAAAACACCCATCACGTAAAGGAAAAAAAAAACAGATTAAAACAAGACTAGAAAGTTAACTTAACTGAAGGACCCGTGCATCTACTGGACCATCCACACCATTGTCCATGTGTGGCTCACACCACAAATCAGCCACGACACAGTAGAGATGGCCAAAGTCTAGCTCCCTGTCTCATGATGTAATTAATACAAGAGATCCTTTGAGACAGCTAGCTCCAGCTGCAAGGCTCCATCCCAGCCACACTTACAGGGGACTGGATGTCTTGGCTACGTTCTGACAGTTCTGAGTTCAAAGCATTTCTACCTCTAGGAATAATCAAACCTGGACCTGGCAGGCAACTGCTGTTCAGGATATATGATATTCAGGATCTATGTGCAATGTGAGGTTTAAAAACCAGGGGGCCACCAGGGAGATCATCTGGCACTTTACTCTAAGCTCCATTTCAAATGTGAACAGAAAGACCAAGTGTGTGGCCGCAAATAAAACTCCCAGTTCATGTTTTTAAAGCGCTCCTGTTTTAGGGAAGATAATGAAGGATTATAATAGTAGAAACTGGAAAAGAAAGAAAAGATAAACTTTGCTCCTCCCCAGTTCTATAGGTCTTGTTGGTACACTAGCTTGTGTCACCGGAGAACTCTGAGAAAACGCCTCCATCGATTGGCCTGCAGGCAAGTCTGTAGGTCATTTTCCTGATTAGTGACTGATGTGGGCAGGTCCAGCCCGTGGTGGGCAGCCGGCCTTGGGTGCTGTGAGAGAGCAGGCCAGTAAGCCGTGCCCTCCGTAGCAGCTCTGGCCTCCAGGTGCCTGCCTTGCTTCAGTTCCTGAACTATAATTAGGATGTATAAGCCAAATAAATCCTCTCCTCCACCAAGTATGTTTTGGTTGATTTTAGCACAGCAACAGAAAGCAAAGTGGGCCAGGGTCATCACAGTACCGTCTTCTCCTGCTCCAAGTGGTCCAGATCAGCTAAGGGCAGCATTGACGGCCTCCCATGAGCACACTGGAATGGCAGCTGGCACAAGGACAGAGCTTCGATAAGGCGATAGCTCTCCTCTAGGCTCAGGCAATCATTAAACTTAATGGCCCCTAAATAAAAGAGACACCGAAGAGTCATAGTGTGACGGTGAGAACCAACGTCAACCTTAGGCCAGAACTGAGCACCTGGACAATGTAACCCATTTCTTAGACTGGCACCTGAGGTCATGGAATAGACTCAGGCTTCAGACTGCCCTCCTGCCTCAGCTTCCATATGGAGTCCATTTTTCTGATGTCACAGGAGACATTCCTAAACTTGGTAAGATCTTGCTTTCAGCCAGGGTGAGTTTATGAATGTCCACTCTCCTTCTGTGCACAGTGGCTCAAAAGCAAACTCTCATAGAGTCCGTTTCATCCCTCCTTTTTTAAAAATAATTTATTTAACTTTATTTTATGTGCATTGGTATGAAGTATCATTATCCCCCTGGACCTGGAGTTACAGACAGTTGTGAGCTGCCATGTGGGTGCTGGGAATTGAACCCAGGTCCTCTGGAAGAACTGCCAGTGCTCTTAACCCACTGAGCCATCTCTCCAGTCCCCTTTTTCTTGGTTTTTCAAGACAGGGTTTCTCTGTAACTTTGGAGCCTGTTCTGGAACTAGCTCTTGTAGACCAGGCTGACCTCGAACTCACAGAGATCCAGATCCTCCTGCCTCTGCCTCCCGAGTGCTGGGATTAAAGGTGTGCACCACCACCGCCAGGCTCATTTTTCCTCTTTCTTAATTTCCATAATCTAAATCTTTACATGTTAGAACTTATCTTTAGTCTAAGATCAATTCACTCAGTCAATAAATGTTAATTAAATGTCTGCTTTGCAGCAAGAGCCCTTCAGACAGTGAGTGAGTAAAGAGCTGCCTCTCCCCACGGCTCTTGGGCTCCAGCAGGTACAGCAACATGAGACAAGTCATTACAAAGTCATTTAGACATCAGTGCCATGAAACACAGGTAGGAATATGTAACACGGGGCCGGCCCGGGTTAGACCAGGGAGTGCTCTCTTGCTAAGACGATTCAGTTGAGAAGACAGATCTACAGGAGAAGGAGCAGAAAGGTTTTTCAGGCTCAGGAAAGGACAATGCAGGGTGTCAGTATACAGGAGGGACACGGCAAAGAGGAGGCTGGAAACGTGAAGAGCACAGTAGGGTGTGACACTTGCTGAAACAAGCTGCGGGCGGGGCCAAAGCACCGAGACCCTTGTAAGCTGTAGGTTATGGCTTTTGCCAAGTATGGTAGGAGAGGCCAGTGATCCCAGCGCTCTGGAGAGAGAGACAGGAGGATCCAGAATTTCATTAAGATTATCATCAGCTACATATTAAGAGACCACCCTGGTCTATAAGAAACTTATCTCAAACAAATAGACAAAAAGAAAAAGAAAGGCAAGTAAACACATAGCAGAGCAGTGGTGGTGCATGCCTTAATTTTAGCACTCAGGAGGCAGACACAGGCGGATCTCTGTGAGTTCGAGGCCAGCCTTCCCTACAGCGTGAGTTCCAAGACAGTTGGAGCTGTTATACAGAGAAACCCTGACTCAAAAAGTTAAAAATAAATACATAATATATACATAAATAAAATACTTTCATACTAAGAGTATTAGTAAATGTCAATGCATATTTCAGATAGAAGAACTGACTTTTTTTCTTTGGTTTTCTTTTCTCTTTTTCTTTCTTTCTTTTGTTTTGTTTTTCAAGACAGTGTTTCTCAGTAGCTATGGAGCCAGTTCTGGAACTCACTGGCCTCGAACTCACAGAGCTCTGCCTGCCTCTGCCTCCCCCACTACCGCCTGGCAGAATTGACATGCTTAAAGGCATGTCTGAAAGATTTGCCTGGCTGGGAGTGGTGGCACACATCTGTAATTCCAGCATTGGGAAGCTGAGGCAGGAGAATTGCTACAAGTTAGAGACTGGCTTACTCTACATAAGTTCTAGGACAGCCTAGAGTACAAAGCAAGACCCTGCCTGAAACCAAACAATAACAGGACCCCTGTGGGTGCTGAGAGAACAATCATTGAGTAGGAGCCAGAAGGGAGTGAGGACTGCGTGGAGGCTTCAGCGGAGGCAGGAAGAGTGCAGACAGCTTCGGGACAGGTGCCACGGTGCAATCTGGCGATGGAAGGCAGAAGAGCAGGATGAGGGGCAATGAACACCGAGATCTCTGCAGGGGGCAGACTGATCTGGGAGAGGCACAGGTGAGAAGACAGGAAGGACAGAAATAGAATGGGGAGCAGTAGGTCAAGGACAGTTATGGGGTTCCAAAGCTGCCACTCCCCTGGATGAGGTCTTCTACCCATCAGATCCCCTACTCAAGACCCCACCAGATCAAATGCATCCTGGACCAGCTCTAAACGTTTCTCTGGAACCTTCTAAGCGTCTGGTCTTTATTTCCAGCCTAATTTCTTGGTACTTTTGGCTGCTCTTCATGAGAGGAATTTACTCCTGGCCTTTGTGGCTCTGCCAAGGCTGCTTCCTCACGCTGTGATGAGCCCCAGGCTCACTCTGGGGTGACTCCGAGTCAGGGGCCTCTAGGGTCCACTCCTCTGCTTTGTCAATCAGTCTGCACCCGTACTGGTGTTTTACTTTTAAAAAGCAATTTTAAAAGTAGATTCAGGTTCTTGACCTAAAGTACACTCTGTAAAAGGCGAGCAGAAATGTACATTTTGCCTCCTCTACAGTGACTGTACCTCTGCAGTGCTCAGCGCACCCGAGATCCTAGAGATGTGCAGGCTCTTACCATGGCAGGCCTGGGAGGCCAACACCTTCTGGACAGTCAGCGGCAGCGTCCCCTGGATGCCTCCTGTGGTCTGAATCAGCTACATTATTAACAGAAGGGGAATGAGGTAATGAAGCCTTTTGCATGGAGCACTTCAGCGTGACACCCTCCAGTAAGAGAAAAGCTTACCTCCACTTGTTCTCGAATAAATTCCTATAAAACAAAAGGAAAACAGGCATGAATCTATTGTCCTCTTCATTGAGGATTTAAAACCATCCTCAACGACACAGGAAATGGTTCCAAACATTGAAACATGTGATGACATGGAAGTCTCTGCACAACAAAGGGGACAGAGAGCCTAAAGCATGAGGGAAAACCTTTGCCCTTAATATAAGAGTTAACATTTAGATATATAAAGAACAGCAGATTAAACACACACACACAAAACTGCCAGGCAATAATAGATGGGCTAATGAATTGAACAGACAATTCTCAAAAGAAATATAAATGGTCAATAAATATCTTTTAAAAGGTCAACATCCCTAGCCATCAGAAAATGAAAATTAAGCCTTCTTTGAGATTCCACCTTACTCTAGTCAGAATAACTATCATGGAGGCTGGAGAAATGGCTTGGCAGTTACGAGCACTGGCTGCTCTGCCAGAGGACCTGGTTCAGTTCCCAGCACCCACATGGCAGCTCACAACTGTCTGTAACTCCAATTCCAAGGGATCCAACACTCTCACATCGATGTGAATACATACAAAACACCAATGCACATAAAATAAAAATATTTTTAAAAAACGAAGCCAGGTAGTGGTGGCCTATACCGTTAAGCCCAGCACTCAAGGCAGAGGCAGGTGAATCTCAAAGTTCAAAGGCAGCCTGGTCTACAGAACAAGTTCCAGGACAGCAAAGGCTGTACAGAGAAACCTTATCTTGAAAAAAAATGAAAGAAAAAAAGAGAGAGAGAGAGACAGGAAAGAAAGGGAGAGAGAGAGAGAGAAAGAGAGAGAGAGAGAGAGAGAGAGAGAGAGAACAAATCTTGGCAAGGATGCAGGGTAAGAAGAAACCTCATCAACTGAACGGAATGTGAACTACAGCAGCCACTGTGAAAATCAGTGTGAAGCCGGCTCCCAAAGCTAGCGCAGAACTACCGTGTGACCCAGCTATCCCACTCGTGGGCAGCAGAACTACCATGTGACCCAGCTATCCCACTCATGGGCATGCATCAAAGCTCTCCATAGCCTACCACAAAGGGAGGGCACATCCATGCCCACTGCTGCTCTCACAACAGAAAAAAAAAACAAAAAAACAAAAACAGAACCAGCCTAGACACCCATCAACAGATGAACAGATAATCAAAACATGGGAATATACTAAGTGAGGTGTCCCGCCCATATGCAGATCTCAGCTTCTAATTGTTAATGTCTTCCTAGGTGAACAGATGTGCATAGAGGCTAGGAGCCAGAAAGGGCTCCTGAGACAAGACAGAGCAGCTCTGAGGGTGAGGGAAAGGGCAGTGGAACACAGGAGATATTAAGGTGTAAGGGGCAACCCCGGTGAAAGGACAGCAGGGGAAGGGAAGGGCGGGGAGATGGGAAGCAAATCAACCAAAAGACAGTATTCATGAAAATGTCACAAGAAAGCCTGTTACTTTGTAAGTTCATTTTTAAATTTAGTTTTACTTAAATGTTATGTGTATGTGTGTTTTCCTCCATGTATGTCTGTGGGCCACTTCAAGTTGATGTCCCAAAGCACACTTAAGACGTTTCTCCTCCCTTGTAGATCTTTGTCCTTGTGGAGACTTTTTTCCTCCTTCAAGACAGTCTTGCTATGAAGCCCAGTCTGGTCTTGAGCTTATGCTCTTCCTGCCTCGGTCTGCCTACATCCCTTTATTTACAAATTAAATTAAACTCCAGGGCCAGTGAGATGGCTTAGCAGGGATAGACCGGGATTCCTACGGTAGAACAAGAGAACAGTCCTGACCTACACAGACATTCACACTCACACACACGAAATAAAATAAAAAAATTTAATTAAAGCTGATACTATTAAATGTGCCAATTTGTTTAGCCTCTGGAGGCAAAAACTCTCTCAAGGTATGGTACATTTAATGATCTTTTAACAACACTATTGCTGTGAAGCTGAGAGGAATGGAAGCCAACACTAACTTCTGCTATTTTCTCTGGTGAGTGTGCGAGCAGGACTGTAAAGCATGTTTATAAGCCTGAAGAGGGGAAGAAGGGTCTCATTTTCAGTTGACTTCATATTTCAGTTAATGTAGACAATCTAAATAATGTTAAAAAGGCTCAGTCATGCCAAGCACAGTGGTATATGCCTTTAATCCCAGCAGGTCTGTGAGTTCAAGGCCAGTGCTACAGAATGAGATCCTGTCTCAAAAAAAAAAAAGAAAGAAAGAAAGAAAGAAAGAAAAGAAAGAAAGAAAAAGAAAACGGCTTAGACATCAAACGGGAACACAAACCGTTAAGAATGTATCAATGAGCTGGACCAAGGTGGTGCATGCCTTTAAGCCTAGCACTCAGGAGGCAGAGGCAGGTAAATCTCTGAACTCAAGGCCAGTCTGGTCTACAGAGAGTTCCAGGACAGTCAGGGTTACACAGGGAAACCCTGTCTCAGAAAAAATAAAAAAAGTATCATGACTGCTAGGATTCTCAAAGTTACCTCCTCAACACTGAACTGCTCCAACTCTTCCAAAATCAACAAATCCTCCTATCAGCCTGACTAAATATAATCAGATTTTCTGAAACCATAAGCTTTGTTTTAATTTGAAGTAAACTATTTAAGAGTATCTTTGAAGTCACTTCAGGAGTTTTTATTATAATTTTCTGGTTAAAACTTTAGGTTTTGAATTACAGTAAGAGCCTTGCGGCTCCTGTCTTTTGGAGTTGACACAATCTGAGTCCATATCTGGAGCAGGAGTCTGAGAAGACATGAGCTGTGTGGGCAGAAGAGAGCTCCGCTGAGGCAGAGCTGAGCTGTCACCAACAGGCAACTTGGAAAGGGGAAAGGAAGATAACAAAGGCTGAGCCCGGGAGCGCCGCCGCCTGCTCTTCAGTGTCCTCCTTCCGTCTTAGAACAAAATGGCCTGCACATGCAAACTCGGCCACTTCTAACCTTCAGTCACCAGCCGTCTCTGTGTGCAACAGAGGCTTTGACTTCTCCTCAGTGCACAGACAGAAACCTAGGGCTTTGTACATACATGTACACATCCCCAGTCCTTTTGTTTGTTTGAGACACACACACACAGAGAGAGAGAACAGAATGTAATCCAGGCTAGTTGGTCTAGAATTATGTAATTCAGGCTAGCTTCAAGCTTGTAATCCCCCCGCCTCAGCCTTCCAAGTGCTGGAATTACAGGTCTATGACAGCAGCTTGGCCAGCGTTCTAGGAAGAGTCAGCAGGCTTCACTCCTGATTCGCTCAGCCATCTGTCAGATTCCATCCCAATGGATGACTCAGAATATCAACCACGGCATCACCTACCCCAGCTGCTCAAATCTTACTTTCTGGTCACTGCTAACTATTTCCTCTTGCCTACAGCTTCACTTAGTTGAAACAATGTTCCCTTTGCCGGTTCTTCCTTCCTCAGTGTCCCCAGTCATCTCCCAGCTCCCTCAGTGTCACCCCCTGTCCTATGGCTCTGCCTCTGCTCCTCCCCTCCCCCTTATCTACCAACAGATTCACTGTCTCCTGGCCCAAGTCACCAATTGTGCGGGCTGTTATGGCCACCAGATATGCACAATCCAGATTTCTTTTCTAGATACAAGAGTGACAGTCAGCCAGGCCCCTGGCACTTGAAGGCACTGTCTGCGCTGAGGTCATATCACCCCGCAGGTGTGCTGCGGCACTGCCTTCCTCCTCCTCAGCAGCGCTGTCCTCATCCAGCTAAAGCTCTAGCAGCACGGTGATGTGTCTTTCTCCTTTATTACTCTGTGTGCCTTTCACAGCAAATCTCCTGGAGTTTCCCTCTCACCTAGGTGTCAGATCTGTCCTTCCTTTCTATTCCCAGTACACTGATTTAGTCAAATCATATAGCAACCATTACAATAATTCGAACTTTTTACCTGCCTTCTAGCTTTTCCCAAACCTGCCCATGTATCCTAACAGTCACCAACTCTATCTTAAAATTTCTGGGCATTATTTTATTACATTATTTATATGTATATGCATATGTGTGCATTCATGTGTGCATGTACACATGCCGTGGTGTACACTTGGAGGTCAGTGAACAGACTGAGGGAAACTGTGTAGATCCCGAGGACTGAACTCAGGTCAGACCTGGCTGTGGCACCTTTACCTGCTGAGCCATCTGGCTGCCTCTGAGTGTTTTGCCTAAATGTCTGTAAGTGCATCACATGTGTGCCTGATGCCCATGAAGGCCAGAAAAGGGCATCGGAGCCCCTGGAACTGAGTAACTGACGGTTGTGAGCCAACACATAGGTGCTGGGAACAGAGCTGGGGTCCTCTGCAGAGCAGCATGTGCATGGACCTGTAAGCCATCTCTCCACCCCGCCCATTTGAGACAAAGCCTCGCTGCGAGAGCTTAAACTCTCTACCCCTTAGCCTCCTGAGCACTGAGACGACCAACAGGTGCCACATGGACAGCTCTGTGACACTTCTAAACATGCCTCCACCCTCCACAAGTACTGTGTTATAACTGAGTGTCCGCCTCCTTTCCGTGAGCTAACTCATTAACTCATCTTAACTTCATGCACCTGGCACGCTGAAAGTAAGCCAAATGTGTGTTGACTAAGGATGAACACCAGCATCAGGGGCGCTCAGCCACTTCCCAGGCACTAAGGATGAACACCAGCATCAGGGGCGCTCAGCCACTTCCCAGGCACTAAGGATGAACACCAGCATCAGGGGCGCTCAGCCACTTCCCAGGCACTGGACGATGCATCTCACCTCCACGATGCTCTTAGTCACAGGAGACCTTCCTCTTCGAAGCTCACTGGCCTCCCTCTCTACAAAGCAGAGTGGCACTTTCCCCACAAGGATCAAAGGATCACTGGCATCTGGAAATATCAATTCCAGTCCCAGATCTTCCAAATATTTGTGGTAAGACCTAAAGAGACAGGCGCAGATGTAAGAGCGTGACTTCACCCGCTTCAGTGCTAGTTCCAAAACTTGATGGTTTGCAAAAGCGTCCATGACCTTTGGAAGTTGTATTGTTTTCCTTATGCTTATATGTGTTTAGAATTTCATTATCAAATTTCCTCTTCAATTACAGTAATTCTCATTCACAGTTACACTTTCTAGGAATTCAGTTACTTGTGGCTGACCAGGATCCAAAAAAATAAATGGAAAATTCCAGAAGTAAACTTCTCTTTTCTTTATTTTGGGGACTGCACTGGGGCCTTGCACATGCTAAGCATATGCATCTGCAGCCGTAAAATTTAAATTGCTGCTCTGAGAGTATGATCAAATCTCAGCTTGTCCCATTGGAGCACCCTGTGTCCGGCGCACCCTGTGTCCAGCATACCCCCTAGAGGCCACACATCTGTTCACCGCTGGAGGACCCTGTGTCCAGCATACCCCCCTAGATGCCACACGCCCGTTCACCGCTGGAGGACCCTGTGTCCAGCATACCCCCCTAGATGCCACACGTCCGTTCACCGCTGGACGACCCTGTGTCCAGCATACTCCCCTAGAGGCCACACGCCCGTTCACCACTGGAGGACCCTGTGTCCAGCATATCCCCCTAGAGGCCACACGTCCGTTCACCGCTGGACGACCCTGTGTCCAGCATACTCCCCTAGAGGCCACACGCCCGTTCACCACTGGAGGACCCTGTGTCCAGCATATCCCCCTAGAGGCCACACGCCCGTTCACCACTGGAGGACCCTGTGTCCAGCATATCCCCCTAGAGGCCACTCACCCATTCACCATGCAGCTATCAGATGCCTACTCCACTGTCCCATTTTAAAAGAGAGATTTATCTATTATATTTGTATCTCATGTGTATTAGCCTTCATGTATGTGTACGACATGCTTGTGAGGCCCCCGTGGAGTCCAGAAGAGGGCATCGGATCCTCTGGAACCAAAGTTACAGTCGGTTCTGAGACTTTATGTGGTTGCTAGGACCCAAACTTGGGTCCTGTGCAAAAGCAGCAAGTGCTCTTAAGATACTGAACCATCTCTCCAGCCCAGTACTGCAGGTGTTATTCTCAAGTAACCCTTATTTTCTTTCATAGTGTCCCCAGAACACATTAGTAGTGATCCAAAGCATTAAATACGGAAGACTGATCATGGTACAATGTGGCAATGTTACAGGACATGCAGATTAGCCGTGGTATAAGGGTAGTAATCTATAGGGAAAATAATATATACACAGGGCTCAGTATTGCCATTTTCAGGCATCTTCTGAGGTCCTGGAATAAATCCAGCACACACCCATCCTTCTGTTTTTCTATTGAGAGAACCAATTTGCTTCCAAATCTTATTCCTAAATTTTCATTCTCCACTAAAGAACTAATTTACTGCCCCCACTTAAAGAAATTTGGCTCAAAGAAAAGCTCTGCAAATGTTTTGAATCATAACAGAAAGAGGTAATTAACAGCTTCAAGAACAGAGAAGTCCCGCCTGGGGTGTCTTGGTGACAGTAAATAAGGGAATTATGCTCTGGGGAAAGCTGTGTTGGTAGCAGTGCCTATCCAAACCTGAAATGAACTGACAGTCTTCACTGTCGCTAAGTGACACTGCCCAGAAGTGGGAAAACGACCTCTCTAGCGACTGCTCCAGGACACCCCACCCTTGCGTCACAGTGCTTGGCTTCTTCCTAATAAGATTATGGTAATGAAGAATCTACAATGAACCAAGACACAAGAATGGAAGCAATTACTCCCCAACTCTGCTCTCAGAAACAGCACAGCATAAACACTTGGCTGTTCCAAGAAATGAGAAGAGTGTTCTAAGCCAACTGCTGGAAAAAATTATCAGGGAAATTCTATCCTGTACTCAATAGCTGTGCCGCAGGAGGGGTCAGAAGGCAGGCTTCGAGTGCCTGCTCCTCAGCTAACTGTTAAGACCTTGGCTGAGCCATCCACTATTTTTGTCTCAGTTTCCTTTTCTGAAAAATATGGACTATTTATGCAGAAACCTAAAAACTTACTGTAAAGCTTTATACTTCCAGCATCGCGCCCTCGAGGTGTTACTGACCTTAAGAGTCTCCTCTGCTCCTCTGATACTGTGATCGCTAGTGGGGGAATTATTGTGGACGACAGGAGTTTCTTCCGACCAGAGCTTTGTGGCGGCTGCTTCTCGTAGGAGTCTATCAGAAGGGAGGTGAACAAAAACAGAATAAGAGGGGAGACGGGTACATTCCGTTAGAGGATGCCTGGAGAGGAAAGGCCGCGGTAAAAGTTCTCAGACTAAGTACTGTGCTCAGTGTTCGGGTCTACACTTTGGATTCTAGTAGTAAACTAAGGGATATTCAGACATTTTCCTCATTTTAGCGGCTTTTCAAAATAAGAACTAGAAGACTAAGCCCTTACATCCCAATGAACAAGGAAGTGTTCCCATAGTTAATTCGTGTGGTATCAGTACAGAACCACACAATGTGGCATAATGTCTGTGAGTCAAGTCAAGAGAGATTCTTGGTTCCTTCAGAAAGGTTTCTCTGTCTTTGAAAAGAATTTGCCTATATTATTCACAAATGATGCAGGCCCTATACAGGAAATAAGCTTGGGTGTGAATTTAAGAAAATTATTATTTCATTAAAAATTTTTTATGTGGGCCAGGTTGTGGCAGCTCATGCCTTTAATCTCAGCATTTGGGAAGCAGAGGCAGATGGATCTCTGTGAGTTCAAGGTCAGCTTGGTATACAGAGTGAGTTCCAGGACAGGTTCCAACGTCACACAGAGAAACCCTGTCTCAAAAAAGCAAAAAACAAAAAACAAAAACAAAAAAACAAAACATTATGTGTACGGATGTTTTGCCCACATGTATTTCTGTGTACCATGTGTGTGCCTGGTGCCCCCAGAGGCCAGGAGAGAGCATTAGAACCTGTGGAACTGAAGTTACAGATAGTTGTGAGCTGCCATATTGTGCTGGGAATTAAACCTGGATTCTCTGCAAGAGCAGCCAGTGCTTTTAACTTCCGAGCTCTCTCCCCAGTCTCATATTATTTACGATTGTGTATGCGTGTGCTGTGATGCGGGTGTATGGCAGGGGGCTCCACACAAGCCAGGGCCTTCTACACACATGGAGATCAGTGGACAACTTTTTGGGAGTCAGTTTTCTCTCTTCCCACATTATGTGGGCGATGGGACTGAACTGGGGCTGTCGGGCTGCATAGCAAGTGTTTGCCAGCTGAGCTATCTTACTGACCCCTAAGTTTGTTTCTAATGAGCCAAATTTTTTATTTATTCATTTCTTGCATTTCAAGTTTTCTTTGATGACATCCTTTGCCTGAGATTCTTTGCCACAACCCTTAACAGTTACACCATGGCCAACCACTTTAATAATTGTTATGGTCTTGGGTAAGCCATGGTAAGATCGGGTCTCTTGATCTCCCTTTCTTCCTCTGACGATTTTTTATGCAAAAATCTCACAATTTTGCACAGCCAGTTCATTTCTTGTGGTCGCCAGCCTTCTTAAAGCCAACAGCTCGGGGCTGGAGAGATGGCTCAGCAGTTAAGAACACTGACTGCTCTTCCAGAGGACCTGTGTTCAATTCCCAGCACCCACATGGCAGCTCACAACTGTCTGTGACTCCAAAATCTAAGATAAGAGTTCAGTATAAAGGGTCTCCAGCAGCTTAACACATGCTCACCATGAAGACAGGTCTGTGCGAAATTACCACAAAATCAGCAGCAAACATCAGTTTGCTATTTAGTGAATGGAACAGAATGCCTGATTTGCTAGCTGCCAAACAAAGGTCAGCAACTCCCTCCAGCTGCTGCGAAACCCACCGTATTCCACTCACCAAGTGAGCAAGGAGAGCTCAATCTGTAAATCCTTCCTCAGAGTAAGTAACTTTCCTATAACTGTTTTGACTGTATCTTTCCGAACTCTTGGGACTTCATTTGTTTGTTTTTCAAGACAGGGTTTCTCTGTGTAACAGCCCTGGCTGTCCTGGAACTCTGTAGACCAGACTGGCCTAGAACACACAGAGATGCACCTGCTTCTGCCTGTCAAGTGCTGGGATTAAAGGAATACACCAGCATCACCTAGAAAAATACACTTATGGCTGTTTTTATTGGGTGGGGGTGTCTTCATTTTATAAGGGCAAAGAAAATGGCAATGACATTATTGCCATTTCAGTTCATGAAACATCTACCTGGAAAAACCCTATCTCAAAAACAAACAACAAATCAAAAAGCACATGCACTTTGGAAAGATACATTTAGATAGCACTGATACTAGCTGCCCAAGATGAAACGAGAGACAGGGTGTAGGGGATGCTTTGTTATATTTCCTTCTGTTCCTTTCAGAATTAGATCAATTTGATCACACTAACTGCACCCAAATAAACAAGATTTTAAAATAAAAGTATTATATGGGACTTGGTGGACTGTGGGGAAGGCCCAAAGAGAGTGCACAGGCATCGATTGGAGTGCATCCCTTTGTGCTGGGAGTCAGAGTAAACTAGCCCAGTCTCTCGGTAGGTCTGGGTGGAGAACAAATACATAGGAAATGTGCCTTTGACCAAGTCAGTCAGACCCACATGTTTGAGTTGGCAAGGCAAACTACTGCAGTCTTTCCACTGGTTTTCAGCCTGAATTTTAATTTTCAAACGCACAGTACATCCCTCCTCACATGTCCAGCCGTATCAACTGTGCCAGGAGTCTGGACTCTCCAGTTGCACACCGAGGCTTACCAGTAATGAGCTGTTCCAAACGAACTCGCTCGTGGGCAGCGTGCTGATCCACCAAGACTAGCAGGTGTCCACCTACAAAACCATCCATGGTTACTGGTGTTTCATAAAGTGTGGAGAGAGAAAAGGGTTCATTCAAGCCACCCAATGGCATAAACAGAAGATACACTGAGTAGATACAATTGCACATTTTTATTTTTTGAGACAGGGTCTTGCTATATATATAGCCCTAACTGGCTTGGATCTTGCTGTGTAGACCAGGGTGGCCTTGACTTCACAGAGATCCACCTGCCTCTGCCTCCCAAGTGTTAGGACTAAAGGTGTGTGATATCACACCCAACTCAATTGCACTTTATATTAAAAAAAAAAAACCTTGAGATTATCAATAAATCAACAAATTCACCCCTGGTTAAAAAAAAATCTTTTTAACTCATCAGTATTTCATTTAGAAAAGAAGGTTACATTTTAAAATTTATTCAATACAGATTTAGCTTTATTAATTCAACTTTACTACAATGAGGAACTATAAGAAAATGCAATGTATACATTATAATCAGTGGACCCTGATTTGTAAACCACTCTGAAACTCAAGAGCATACTTGTACACTTTAGATCAGAAGCCAGGGATTTTTTTTTTTTTACAAAGAGTCAGAAAGAAAATATTTTATGCTTTTTAGGCCAGATGGATTCTGTCACAACTACTCAACTATTCATTTTGAGTCAAAGCAGCCACAATCTGTGCCACTATAGCTATGTTCCAATAAAACTTTATTTATGGACACTGAAGTAACTGCATACGATGTGGCTGTGTCAAGAAGTCTTCTTTCGTGTTTTTCCTAACCATGTAAGGATGTAAAAGCCATTACTTCCCTGGCTGCAGAGAAACAGACCCTCAGGCTGCAACTGTAGCTGTTTTAGGCCGGGGCTTCCCACGCTATCCTGCGTGAACCTATCACCTGGGAGCATATTCAATGCAGAATCTGATCAAGAGGTCAATAACGGGGCACAAATTTCTGCAATTCTAACTAACTCCCAGATGATCTTGCCTACTGGCCCCACTTTTTTTTCAAAAAAAATTTTTTTTGTTTTGTTTTTTGAGACAGGGCTCCTCTGTAGCTTTGGAGCCTATCCTGAAACTAAAAATTTTTTTATGAGGGCCAAAGAGGTGGTTTATCAGTTAAGAACACTTGTTTCTCATCCAGAAGACCTGGGTTTGGTTTCCAGCACCTCCGTGGGAGCCCACAGCTGTCTGTAACTCCAGTTCTAGACTTGAGGCCTTCTTCTTGGTATCCACATGTGATGCACATGTGTGTATGCAGGGAAGACATCCAGACATATAAAATAAAACACAAATTTTAACTAAAGACATTTTAAATTATGTGTAGTTGTGTGTCTCTGTATGAATGCGGGGGCTCACAGAGGCCACACGTGGCGTGTTCCCTTGCCAGTGAGCCCCTGATGAGGGTGCTGGAGGTAGAATTCTTTTTTTGTTTTTGTTTTATTAATGATAGAAGAAATGCTTTTTACTGAAAATATACTTTTTTCATACAATATATTTGTATTATGGCTTCCCATCCCCCACACCACCCATCTCCTCCCCATTTGCACCCACCCAAACCCACACCAGTTCTTTCATTCTCTCATCACAATGAAAATAGGCATCTAAAATGAGGAGGAGGCAAAGGAAAAATAAAGATAAACCAAACAGAATAGGTTAAAAAAAAAAAGGAGCCAAAGAAAAACCACCAGAAACAAATACGGATGCTGAGACACATACATTCACACACATAGAAAACGCATAAAAACTAAAACCAGAAACCACAATATGTAGAATTCTTGAGGAGCTGTGTGGCTCAATTAACCACTGAGCTGTCTCTCCACCCCTCCAGGCCTCACTTTTAAGAGCAGGACTTCAAAATTTCAAGGACAAGCAAGGGAACAGAGAGTTTAGAAGTCAAACCTACAGGGAAGCCTCAGGGACAGGACAGTTATCCGTGACATTATTATACCTTTCAAAAGCTGCGTTTTATTATTTTGGACCAATAGATTGTAAGCTTATCGTTATTAATCATATTGAAACAAAAGTTCTTCTCTTGAATTTGATCAAAATAGAAAATGTCTTTTTCTTATTTCTATTAAAAGATTGAACATTTTCCTATGATACTCTGACAGTCTTGATTGTCAACTTGACACAATGTAAATCACAGAGAACTATCTAGAACAGGCTGGCCTGTGGGCGTGTACGTAGAGCACGATTTTAATTAAGTTGCCTGGAAGTACGAGGCACCATGCCCTGCGTTTGCGGTGCAAACTGAAAGAGCAGATACGGCAAGCCAAGAAGGTGGCAAGCCTGTGCGAACTTCTCTCCTCCAGACTATGGGTGTGATGTGACTAGCTTCTTCAAATTCCTGTCTGGCTTCTCAGTGATGGAATGTACTATGAAGTTGTGAGCTAAAATAAACTCTCTTCCCTACATTGCTTTATGTCAGGATATGTCGTCATAGCTACAGAATGAAACTAGGGGAGATACTCTCAAATTCCCAGCAGGAAAGCCTAAGATTTCAAGTAAAAGGAAACAGACAATTTACTTTTTATTGTTGAGACAATATTCATTGTATCCAGACTGGCTGCAGACTACTATGCAGTTGAAGGTGACAGTGAACCTCTGATCCTCCTGCCTCATATGTAAGGATTCTGCCAATTAAGCAACACCGCCATAAACACCCCAGCCGAGGTCAATCTCAGGTGTTGTTCTACACCAATCATCCTTTCTGAGAGGGCTCTCTCACTAGCTTGGGGATTATCGAGGATGAGTTTCGCTGGCCTGTGCACCCCAGGGATCCACCTGTCTCTGCCTCTCCAGCACTGGGATTATAAGTGCATGCCAGCACACCCAGCTTTTGAAATTAATTTTTAAATTAATTAATTTATTATACTAATTATTTTTAGGTTAGAAAACAAAGTATTTCATCATGGCATATATACAAAAACATGTCACATACTTTAATTTGTTCTCTCTTTAAATACTTTTTAAAAATGTTTATGGCATGCGTTAGAATGTATTTAAACTGAAGACTAGACAAAGGATGTGGATTTGGGATTTTTGTTTCCTTATTTCCTGATCCATATTCTAACATAGTCTTTTAAAAGTTTTTAGCATTCTTTGAGAATTTCGTACATGTATACAATGCATTTTGACTGCGCACACACCAGAGCTTTTCTGGGCCTTGAACTCAGGTTCCGTTGCTTGTGAAGCAGACACTTTCTGACTGAGCTCCCCAGGCCCAAGGCAGACTTCCGACAGCAGGGCTGGAGGGAAGGTTCAGCGGGTACAGCTACTTGTTGTCAAGCCTCAAGACCTGAGTTCTGTCTTCTGGTAGGAGGAGAGAGCCAACTCCTGGACCAAACCCTGAACAAGACCTGTTTTTTTCTAAATCTATAATCATGATAAAGTTGAACTGGTAAGTTGGGTACAGTAAGAAATTCACAATAATAAAAAAATAGAACAGGGCTGGGGTGTGTGACTCAGTGATAGAGTACTTATGTAGCATGCCCAGCACTGTAAAGATAAATAAATAGATAAATACACCTCTAACAGTGTGCCGGTACCATTATTAAATATAATAAGGTTTCTTTCAACATAAACAATGTAAACGATACAGCTAATGTGTACTGTCTGCAGCTACAGAGTAATGCGCAGCTAGGGTAGAGAGCATGGATACACAGGAGTCATTTGCAGCTTGGGTGGACCACGGTGAGACGATACGAGATGATGTCATGCAGCAGTGTGAAACTTAAGACTTGCCAGTTGCTTATTTCTGGAATTTTCCACATAATATTCTGACCTTGGTTGACTGTGGGTAACTGAGACTGAGCAACACAAGACCACAGACACAGAGACAACTCTAACTGTGCTCAGAACTCAAATCAAAGGCAGCCTCCTCACTCTCTGCTGGCTCCTCCCTCCCAGGTCTCAGATCTCTGGTCTCTCTTTACAGTCCTCATGAGCAGCAATGGCTTGTGCCCCAGCTCTTCCAGACGGTCCTCGGTGCCAACGTCTCCTCTGTCACAAAACCGAACAGGCCTCCCTTAGCAAACACCACTGCAGCAGACGGTGTCAGATCCTGGGCAAGACCTCATTTTCTTCGTTTCTCTGGTTCCTTCCCCTCTTCTGCTGGGCTGCCTTTCGTCTCAGCTGTTACAGGTTTGACTTATTCTAGATTCAGGGCTTCACTTTCCACATTTCTAGGTGAGAAAACTCAACCACCAATAACAGACCCTGCGCAGACAACTCGAATCTATATCACCAGGTCAGAACACTCTAGCTCACACCTGCACTAGCCAAACACATTCCTGCACCTCCTCGTGAACATTTCAAAGGGAATTTAGATTAAACTGGTGATTTTCATCCTCCCAGCCTGCTCCACCTCTTGGTCTTGCAACATCATCCACTTGGCCATGGAGGTCAGAAAACTAGGAGTTACCTTTGATATATCCCTCTCCCATAACAATCCATCACCAAGTCCTGTTAACTTTATCTCCTGCTTTCCTGAAGCATCCACATTTTTCTGTTTGTTTTACTGGAGGTGAGGTCACACGTGGTAGCCCAGGCTACACTATCTAGCCTGGCACCAGTCTTCCTGCCTTGTCTTCTGAGTACTGGATTATATGCACAGGACACCACGCAGTCCTAATGCTTTTACTTCCCCTTAGTCTACCATGATCCTAGTAACCATTTCTTAGATGCTGCAGTTACCTTCTCAACTGTCTCTGTGAGTCTGTGTCCCAGAACTCCGCCCAAACTCAGTCCAGTCTCCAAACTGCAACTAGAAGAGTCCTCCTAAAACAGGACATGGTATGACAGGCAGCATTCCAAAGACAAAGACTAGGAAACATCCAACTGTTTCCAGCCAGGGTTGGGTGGGACAGAGCGAAGCTTGAAACACATTCAAGACCTGGCTACTGCTTCTTCCCAGCTCTGTCTCCACACTTACTCTTCTGCTGTCACTAACAAGGAGGAAATTACAAGTTACCTGCTCACTGTCTTCCTTGACATGTTCATACTTCAGACTCATTTTACCAAGAACTGTCTGCTGACCTCCCTGGCAAAATCAAATCTCTCCGTATCAGTTTTTACACCATCCTCTACTTCTCCATAAGAGCTACCTTAAAATTTTATGTGTTTGTATGATTATTTCTCCCATCTATTTTTCCTATCATTGTACCCCGAGGGCCTGGTACAGTCCCTAGCAAACAAAAGGCATTCAAACAGTATTTGTTGAATGATTTATGTAAGAACTATTGTTTGATTTAAGCAAGTCACTACCTGATTCTGTATAATTTTTTTAATTTTATGTATATGAGTGCTTTGCCTAACCATACATCTATGACCACATGCATGCCTGGTGATGGAGGAGGCCAGGAGAGGGAGTCAGATCCCCTAATACTTGAGTTACAGACAGCTCTGTGAGCCACCATGCAATGCTGAGAATCTAACCCAGATTCTTCAGCTTCCTGATTCTGTGTAACTCTTGACAAACCTAGCAGAACACACCATATAAACTTACATAAACCGATTACTTTTGATGAGAAGACTGTAAATGAAGCGAGGGCGGGTGGGGGGGATGGGTCAGCAGGTAAAGCACCCGCCTTACAGCACCAGGGCTTGAGTTAGAACCTTAGAATCCATGTAAAAAGGCCTGGTACAGTGGTGCACACTTGTGATCGCAAAACTGGAGAGGAGAAGACAAGAAGAGGCCTGGAGCTCACTGGCCAGCCAGTCTAGACTAACTGCTGACCTCCAGGTAAATTGGAAATCCTGTCTCAAAGGAGAGGGATGGCATTCCTGAGTGTGACACCCACGCTTACCCCTAACTCCCATGTGTACAGGTGTGCACCTGTGTGTACACACAGTCATTAAAGGAGGATGGGGCTCAGCCGTAAAATAAATACTCGCTGTGCAAGCACGAAGATGGAATTTGGATCCCTAGCATCTACATAAAAGCCTGAGTGTGGTGGGGCCACACCTGTAGCTGCAACAATGGGGAAGGTAGAGACAGGCAGATGAGGCAGGGGTGCTGCTGGACAGCCACTCTAGCAGAACAGTTGGCCCCAGGTATACAAGAAACCTTGTCTCAAAAGGTAGAGTGGGAAGTACTGGAGGAAGGCACCCGAAGTTACCCCTGGCCTCCACATGTCTGTCTGTCTGTCTGTCTCTCTCTCTCTCTCTCTCTCATGCACGCAAATGTCACAACGTAAGACATTTCAAGGGAGTAGAAGATGAACTTCCCCCTTTGCCCACCCCCATTTTCATTTCCACGGTGAACTGGGTGTGGTGTGGTACAGGCCTGCAATCCCAGCAGTCAGGCTGAGGCATCAGGATACCATGAATGTGAGTCAATCCTGGGCTACATCTCAAAAGACCAAAATCTTAATATGCCTCTTATGTGTGTCAATGTACTTAAAGTCCATCTCCTTTAAAACCTGTCTCTTACTTTAGGTCAGTTTCCTTTATCTGTTTAAATCACTGAAATTACAACAATTTCAAGTTGTTAATCCCAAACAAGTTGTCATATCCCACAACAAGAGTACCCCCAAGTACTGTAAGAGACAGTGGCCAGAACCCCAGCCGGCTTATTAACTGAAGCAAATCCCGTGCTCACCTGCTTTGCCACTCTCCTCCACCTTCGTGCTCATTAGACAGGCTATAAACTTGTTATCCACTTGCTGGAGAACCTGCCATTCATTCAGACAAACAATGTGACAGTAACAATTAGCCAAGGCTTACCTGCATCAAGAGCTAAGCTAACACTGTACATGCTAACACCCACAGCCGAGACCCCGGCGAGGAGCCGGCTAGAGGCCCCACAGGTGCTCTTACCCGAGTTTCGCCTTTGGGATCACAGGCAGCAGAGAGCTGACTCCTGCAAGCTGCTCTCTGACACATACGTGAGCTCGCTCCCGACAAACACACAAAGACTTGTTCTAAAACACTGACTAAGGTGCTGCCGACGGTGAGACAGTTCTGAGATGGGGTGAAAGGATGGGTAGGGAGGCCAGGCTGGGACAGGAAGGTCGCTAGCTGGCAAGGTCAGAGTACCTCTGCAATGTTTCCAGCAGAGATACTCTGAGGAACACACGTGACCAGAGACTGCTAATGAACACAACTAAATTAAAGACACTGTCTCAATGTGTAGCCCTGCCTGACTTGGAACTCTATGTAAATCAGGCTGGCCTCCATCTCACAGAGATCCACCTGTCTCTGCCTCCCAAATACTGGGATTAAAGGTATGTGCCATCATGCATTGCATAAAATACAAGTTTCCAACTGTGAAAAGCCAGGAAAGCCATTTTGGAAGAGCTAGTCTAAGAGCAGTTGTAAAAGCCACCACCAGCTTCAGACCGTGGAGGCTCCCTCTGTCCAGGCTCATGCTCCCCAGAGGTCTCGATCTGGACAGAAAAGTAGAGGAGACAGGGGTGTCCCTTTTGTTAATGAACCTCCCACTCTACAGCTTCCTTAACCTTTGCAGCTTCACATAGGGAGGGTCATTCAAAAGTGAGGATTCCGCACAGTTAAGGACAATGTTGATTTATAGATAATTTGTTGGCATTTGTCATATAGTTATAAAATATAAGCTAAAATTCAGAGCTGCAGAACTGTTAAACGCCCTTGGCATAATTCATTCCCTGAAAACCTACTTGCATGCACTATTTAGAATATTCTTCTTTGCTATTGAAATTTTTTGCATTTTTTGTCCTGATGATAAAAATTCAACTTTTAATCTCAGCACTTGAGAGGCAGAGGCAGGCAGATCTCTGTGAGTTTGAGCCCAGCCTGGTCTATAGAGCAAGTGCCAGGGCAACCAGGGCTACACAGGAACCCTCTCTCAAAAAACTAAAAAAATAATAACTATTAATAATATTATTAATTATTATTATTATTATTTTAAGATTCCAGTCAGATTAAAACAAACACACATGTGATGGCTCTTCTTGGTTGTCAACTTGACTACATCTAGAATTAACTAGAACCCAAGAGTCTGATATACCTATGGGGGATTTTTTTCTTAATTAAATTATTTGAAGTGGGAGGACCCACTTTTAATTCAGACTTTTTGAGGTGAGAAGATACACCTTTAATCCAGATCTTTGGAGCTGGCAGCCTATATAAAGGATGTGGAAGAAGGAAGCTGGCTCTCTGCTGCCTTGCCCTCACTCTCGATGGTAAATCCACTCCTTCACTGGCAACAGAGCCTCCTTCTTTGGGATTCCTGTGTAAACTGAAGATCAGCTGAGACATCCAGGCTTGTGGACTGAACAATTACTGGCTTCTTGGACCTTCAGTTGGTAGGCAGACATTGCTGGACTAGCTGGACCAGAGCCTGTGAGCCCACTCCAATCAATCTATCAGTCTATCAGTTCTGTTCCTCTAGAGAAGCCCAATACAGCATGCCTTGACTAATACGGTCTCACTCATTTAAAAAAAACCCTCAATTTCACAAAAGTTAGTCTAGCGTAAACACTGCATGGGTTTGGTGCTGACTTACCTGCACTGAACGGATCATCTCTTTGGTGCTGACTTACCTGCACTGAATGGATCATCTCTTTGGTGAAGCGATAGGGATACAGCACGTTGTGGATTTTAACCACTAAGCTCTCAGCCTGGCCACTGCTGACATCAACAGCAACCTAGGAAGACTCAGGAAAAACACAATTTAACTTTTAATGTCTGTGGAACTGTTTTACCAATGATTTCAAAGTCCTTGAAAATACACATTTTTTTCGGGGCTTGGAATATCCAGGTCAGTGACAGAGTACTGCTTAGCATATGCAAGGCTCTCGTTTCAATTCCCAGCACTGCAGAAAATAAATCCAAAACCAAACAAGGATTTTCATATATCCTACTAGAAATAGGATGAATGTAGGAAACCTATAGATTGTTTACAGATAAGAATAAGTTGTCTAACAATTTTTTTATAAACACTGACAAAACCCAGAATCATTTCAGAACAATTCGTCTGTGCTCCATGATCAAGTCCTTAAAGGCAGCTTAAGTGATGAATCAGTAGTCCAGTGCTTGTCTATTATCTACACTCATTAACACACTTAGTGCAGGCTGTGACAACGCATCAAAGGGAGAACAGAGCCAGGCCACACAGACCTGTCCCCGCAGGAGAAATGGCCCTGTAAGACAGGGTAAATACACTCACTCTTCACACTGAATATATATGCTAATCCAAAATTCTTGACCTTCCAAAATGCTGGTTATTTCTTTCTACATTAAGCACTAATTTCTGAGTATACCATCTAGAAAGCTGCCTACTTTCCATTCATAATTACAAATTCATATACTCATGCATGCCCATATTCAGCTTAAATGAAGTTCAAATTTATAAACAGGCAAAGAAAAAGTACTACAGACCCACCTCTGGGTGCCGGGCAAATACTGGGTTGTTCCAGTCTGAAAACAAGGCCTGAAGTGATTCACGGACAACAGCAGCATCCACAGCATCTAGGGCAAAGGGGACAGCTGCCATCAAGAACTCAGAAAAGAGTGTCCTCTCCTGCTCAGCTATGGCTTCCAGACCAAGAGTAGACACATTATCCCCACACTCCACACTCTCTGACTAGAGCCTCTACTGTGTCCCTATATTCGTTTTGATGTTACTTCTTTGTTCTGCAGAGCTCTTACCATGTAGCTCTGTCTGGCCTAGAACTCACTATGTAGACCAGGCTAGCCTCAAACTAGACTCAAAAGTGAGTCACAAAGACTCACTTGTTTCTGTCTCCTGAGTGCTGAGTTTAAAGGTGTGCACCACCACTACCCAGCTTGGTACTACCTTTTTTTTTTTAGATATATTTATTTATTTTGAATATAGTATTTTGCCTGCATGATGCATGTAGGTCAGAAAGGGTGCCAGATCTTATTTCAGATGGTTGTGAGCCACCATGTGGTTCCTGGGAATTGAACTCAGGATCTCTGGAAGAATAGCCAGTGTTCTTAACCACTGAGCCATCTTTTCTGCCCCTGGTGCTACTTTTAAAACTAGTATCATGACAGCACCTTCTGAGACAGCTTTTCTGCTGTGCCCTTTAATACAGTTCCTCATGTGGTGGTGACCCCAACCATAAAATTATTCCATTGCTACTTTATACTATAATTTTGCTACTGTTGTATATGTAATTTAAATATCTGATATGCAACCCAAGGGATTGCAACCTATGGGTCAAAAACTGCTGGTCTATACCAATGCTGGAGCCCTTTTCACCTCTGAGCCATCTTTCCAGGCAGAAGACCCAGGTCTGCTTCCTGGCACCCACACAGTGGCTCATAACCATCTGTAACTCTAATTCAGAGAATCTGATGCCCTCCTCTTGCCAAGGGCATTGGATACACATGGTGCACCGATACGTATGCTGGCAAAACATCCATACACAAAACAAAACTAAGTAAGTCTTAAAACAAAAGAAGAATATTTCCAAGTGCATGTACAGAAAATACTACAGTTCCAATTTTCTTGTTGCCTCTTGATAAAAATATACTTAATTGATTTTAAGAAACAACAACAAAAAAATAATAGGTTTCTTTAGGTTTTTTTCCAAAGAATTTTACAAAGATCAAAGTTCTGTAATATGGAGAAATTCAATCCTTAAAAATAAGAAACGTTTCCCCAGTCTCAGACACCATAGCCTATGCATAATCACCCGGCACCAACCGCCAGTCTGGAAAAGCAATTTCTGATCTGTATGCATGCACCGAATCACTTAGCTCTGCTGCTGAACAGAGCCGTGGGGAATTCTGGCTCCCGAGGCACAGCTGGTGCCGACCACGCCTCAGAACGCACCCCTGCTCAGTCTTCCGCAATGAGCGGGACAGGGTGTACCAGGTGTCTCCACACACAACCTCTGGCATTGCTCTCACCTCTCGCCTTTGGTCTCATCATAATCCTCTCCTCCTGAGCTCTCGGAAGGAAAGGAAGAATAAGGTCGCTTCTAAAAGGATGGCACCTGTACTGGACCCCTACACAAAGAAAGAAAAACCGACACATTTGAACTCAACATACAAACTATAAAAATTATGTAAAATCTTTCTCTGCAAACTAAATGAAGGCAGAAGGCAGACTCCTGAATACACGGAAAATCAGAACTTTCAATGAAATCATCGCTAACTTAATTACATGAACACATCATCTCTTTATCATAGATGTGACTTTCAATAGTGCAATGTGCAGGCTGCAGGGACACACGAGGCATTGTCTTCAGACATTTTCCACGGTCATATCCTGAGTAAATGAGGCAGCTACTGGAATCCAGCAGATAAAGGCTGGGTGCCACTAAATACCGTACAAGGTATAGTTATTCAGAAAAGTCTTGTCAGACACACCCTTGTACTTCATGATCACCCACAACCTGCTGCAGCCTTTACAAATGCCCAACTTTTAAGTGTCTTACCCACAATCTGTGACCCTACTATAACCATGATTGCATTGCATTATGTAGCTATCCCTAATATCCCTAATAAATGCTGAGAAGTCAGATGAGCTTTAGTGTGAGAACACCTACCACAGTGTGACAGACAACAAGTACTGGATGAACCTGTGCAGAGATGAACGCCTGGCAGACCTGGAGACGGCTCAGCGGTTAAGTGCCCTGGCTGCTCTTCCAGAGGTCCTGAGTTCAATTCCCAGTACCCACATGGTGGCTCACAACCATCTATAATGGGATCAGATGAATGAGTGGATGAAAGGTACCCTATGCAAATACCAGTCTAAACGCTAACCATCTGGAGGAACAGCAGATTTGAGTCTTAGAAACAACTCTGAAGAGACAGTTTTGAAAAGCCTGGAAAATTGGCTCAGTGGTGAAGAGTACCAGCTGCACTTCCAGAGGACCTGAGTTCAGTTCCCAGAACCCACACTGTAACTCAAGTTCCATGGATTTTTTTTTTTTTTTTTTTTGGATTTTCGAGACAGGGTTTCTCCATAGCTTTTTTGGTTCCTGTCCTGGAACTAGCTCTTATAGACCGGGCTGGCCTCGAATTCACAGAGATCCGCCTGCCTCTGCCTCTGGAGTGCTGGGATTAAAGGCGTGCACCACCACCGCCCAGCAAGTTCCATGGATTTTGATGCCCTCTTCTGCCTCCATGGGCACGAGGCACGAACATGGTACACAGACTACATAATGGGAAAAACATTCAATACATAAAATAAAAATAAAATAAAAAGGATGGGAGGAACACATAACAGAGCTATTGAAAAAGACAAGCCTGTCTGACAAAAACTAAAGCGAGAGCCGGGCGGAGGCAGAGGCAGGCGGATCTCTGTGAGTTCGAGACCAGCCTGGTCTACAGAGCTAGTTCCAGGACAGGAACCAAAGCCACAGAGAAACCCTGTCTCGAAAAAAAAAAAAAAACTAAAGCGAGAGATTACTTGAAGTAAGGTTGTATAATAAGAGACTGAGTGCGGCCTGGGCAGTGTTGGTACATCTTTAATCCCAGCACTTGAAAGGCAGAGGCAGGCAGATCTCTGAGCTCAAGGCCAGCCTGGTCTGCAGACCAAGTTCCAGGACAGCCAGGGCTACACAGAGAAATCCTGTCTCAAAAAACAAAAAATCAAAACTAAAAAACAAAAGAGAGAGAAACTGACTGCCTTCACTTCCTGATCTTCCTGCCTCCACCTCCCAAGTGCTAAAATTAGTGGAGCTTTACCGTTTCTCTTGGAAATTCGTTACACATCTACATTTTCATATGCACCAGTCATGCCCTAATGCCCCACTGTGAAGAGCCAATTCCATGTGAATGGAGGGTGTGAGGTGCTACTTTTTCAATGAACCTGTCTTGATAGCAAAACTAATTTTCATTCGGAACTTGACTTAACGCGGCTCTCAAAAGTTCACAAGATACGGTAATCCAGATGGCGCGGTGCACTGAAGTAGTTTCAACCCCAAATCTACTTAACAGGAGCAGATGTTTATGTTGAGTGTGGCAGCTAAGATCCCCCTCCTTTCTTTTGGCAACAACCACCCCACACTTGAACGTAATCCAGTTATTTTTTGGCGCTGTTTCAGAAGCAGTTCCATTTCAGGAAGATGAGGTGCCGGCACCTTAGATGTTCCTCTCTGATAAGCATTCAGCACATACAAACCAGTACATATGACCTAGACTGGAAAGCACATAAAGATGCCTTAAAGGCAACTGGATAGTCTCAAGAGCAATACTGAAAATAAAGGGTTTTCTCCTCCTATGAAATTCTCTAGAAGTTACAACAGTGATTTTTTTCCCATAAGGAAAAAAATTGAAAAACATTTAAAACTAAAGGATTTATTTAACATCAGAACCTCCAACAAGAAATATTTATCCTAAGGAGACATTGTAATTTGCAATTATATTCATACAATTTTCATTCTTTTACAGCATGAGAGACTTTTTCTCAAGGATGCATATTTAATGTTTATCCTACTAGTGAAAGCCGAGATTACAGCCAGATGGAAATCAGCTTCACTGGCTCCCAACATCTGGCTCTCAACACACTGCCAAAACAATGTCACTTTTAATGTTGCCTGAAACCTGAGAACCCAGAGTCCTAGACCAGGCTCTGGTGTTGCTTTGTGGTGTGACCTGAAAACCATATTATTATCAACTTCTTGTATCAGAAATTCATCAAGTGGATTGGTAGATATAATAAAGTACATTTGAAAAATATAGTTATGAAGGCACCTATCTAGCCTACATTTTGAAAAATGTTTGGCTAACTCCTACTTTCCAGGGGAAGCTCACAAAATCCCACTGCACTGACCTATGTATCCTACTGGGAACTTAAGATAAGTAAAGAATTTCCCCAACCTTAGGCTGGCAGCCACAGACAGAAGCAGTCATGTCTCTAAAGACAAATTTCTAGAAGTATATTTGGGAAGAAAGGGAAAACAGAATAGATAAATACTGCGAGTCTTTTTTAGCCACTAGCAGCACAATTTGATTAAAATGAAGTCCATCCATCCCCTTCCACACACATATGTCTCAGACACATGTAGGTACCTTTATATTCTTTATCAGTCGTCACAAAATTCTCACATTGAAATATTGTCAAACCTCAAGAATCTCCGTATGCCTTAAACACAGTTTAGGTTTTAAAACTGGCCTTCAGAAGCCAGGTGTTGTAGTACATACTTTTAATTCTAGCATTTGGAAGCAAGACCTAGCATGAGTTCAAGACCAACTTGGCTACAAACAGTTTGAGGCCAGCCTTAGCTACACAGCAAGACCCTGTCTCAATATTCCCAACCCCCAAACAACAGAACAATACAACGTGGCTTTCCAAGGCTGTCTGCTGGCCACCTCTGTGAACAACTGTATTGCTCTTTGGCCATTGTTCTTCTTCGTACTTACCATTCTCGAGGAGGACATCCACAGCCACAGTCGTCAGGTCTCTGGTGCAAGCAGTCTGAACATCTTCCGTGGGAGCGACAAACGTGCTTAGTCCGGTTGTTCTGTTGATGTAAACCATTCTTCCCAGCGTAACATCAAAATGCTGCAGCCAACCCATAGGGTATGAATTAGTTTCTTCATTTTCGGAACAAGATCTTGCTTTAGACTCATCATTCTGGGAAGAAATTCCATCTTGGCTGGCAGTGGTAACTTCTACCTGACCCGTGATCATTCTACTGGGAGACTCAGGAGTCCCTGTATGTTGCTCTGAAAATCTGACGAGAACATCTGAATCTTTAGTGGCTTTAGAATCACTGCAGGGCAACGGCAAAGGAGTTTCAGGGTTCTCTGTGTGGTCCACTACACTGTGAGAATGCACTGCACTGCTGTGGGTGGAATTATCCTGGATGGCGGGATCTGGTATCAGAAGCACGGCACTCTTTATTTTTTCGTGTTTATTTTTAAATAATTCACCAAAAGGTAAGTCTAACCTAGTGCTCTGGCTGCTGTCTGTCCGACTGGAATCCGAACCTGGAAGTTCACTAATATGGCCTGTCATCTCCGTCGTTCGAAGCTCCTTTTCAGAACCTTTCCGTCTGGATAATTTCGAAGCAAGTGACTCGGTGGACTTCTCAACATTGGAACGTTTTCTGTTAAAGGGAGAGAATTCTGCCAGAGTAATAGGACTTTCTCTCAAGTGAGGCATCTGTTCTAAGCAAGCTTCTTTGGAAAATGGAGATTTTTCTGACTGCAGGACGTGACTTACTGGTTGACAAGTGTCACCGTGGTCCACGGTAGTGATCTTACCACCATCAGGCATATCTAAGTGGCTCTTGTCATTTAGTAGAATGTCAGGTTCGACCTGAGCATCACCATGGGCCCTTACTTCGGTGTTATTTTCCTCTTCTGTATCTAGAGAACTGATAACCTTCCCATATTGCCTCTTAAATCTCTCTAAAGACCCTACTTGTGAACGCAAGCTTAGCTTCCTACGGCCTGAGCGTCTGGAGGGATGCATCATCTTCTCTGTTTTCTTACTACCATTTGAAGCAGAGCTGCACCCTGGGAAGGAGGGTGCGTCAGGCAAAAAGCAACCTGTGTGTGGTCCTGTACCACCTTCCTGAAAAAGAGCTAAGCTCTCATCCGCTGCTACTGGGTTGTTCTCTGGCCCATAACCTGTGTTTGTCCTGCACAATTTTTTGTGGAGCAGTCGAGCAGATTCTGTACTTAAAGTGCTTGTTAAATCGGTGTCTGGAGTCTCTAGTGCGTGGTGTGCTCTGTTTCCAAATGTCTCTTGGGCACTTACAGGACCGGGTCGGACATAATTTTTAAATGAATGCTCTGTTTCACTTGATTTAGTGTGCACATTCTGTCCCACATGAGTTATAAAGCCAGCAGAGCAGAACTTAACCTCTCCATATCTAAAAACATTGACTCTTCCAGGACTACTCGGCTCTTTTTCTCCTTTTTCCTTCTTTCTCTGTGTACCCTGGACTCTAGATGCTGTTGTCTCAAAAGGCAGAGGTTGGTACCCCACTTCGGTAGCATCTTTATGTTTCTCCAGTAGGCTCTGAATCCTACTATTTGGGGGAACGTTGGCAGCCATGACATTAACAACAGGGCTTATTTTCTGTATTTCTACATCTGCCTCACTCTCCTCAAAGAGATGATGTGTCCGATCAGGGCTTGAAACCATTTTTGGGCTAGTTCCATGTGGACTTTCTGAAGTCCTCTGTTCCAAGAAAGATTTCTGATGTTTCTCGTTTTCTCCCTCTTCTCCCAACACCCTTGATGCTAAGTGAGCGCTGTCTTCGCTGTGTGATGACTCTATCATTTCACTATGGCCCAGGCCATCTGTTTCACAACTGTGCACTGAGTCAGCTGTCTGTTTTCTGATGGCTTCTGAATCCCCAGAATTCTGTGTGTTTCTACTTTCTATAGTAGCCGTTCTTTTCACAACTTTTGACTGTAAATTCAACATTTCATAGGAATCCAAAATATTAGTGCACGCTTCCTGGAAACTGCTCTGGTCACACTTCTCACGAGCGGAGGCCTGTGTCTGCAGAGTAGCACCAAACAAACCAAAATCGTTGTCTTCATTAAAGCCCTTAATAGCTTCACCTGATAACTCTACAAACAGGCTTTCTCGCTTTAAAAACCTTTTGACTCCTTCTTGAATACAAACCAACAGGGTATCCCAGTTCTGAAACTCGATCAGAGTTTTGGCGGGCTCCATGCACACGTCATATTCACAGCATTGGCACTGCACATTGATGACATAGATCCCATGGAGTTCAGGGGCAGAGCGGTGCCGAGGACTGGAATTCATTTGCCTACTGGCAGAGCCATTCTTTGGCCTACATAGAGTACTTTGTTTTCTTAATAAAAAGTCAATGAGTTTGTGCAACTTTGTCCTTAAAACCAGTCTTCGGTTCACAAACAAAAACTGCATATTCTTATTGTAGTGCGCTTCAGAGCTAATGTAGCCACCAAACTCAAACTCCTTATATTTAAAATGTACTTCTCTTAACTTTTGAGACTTGCCCAATCCATAAATTTGACAAAACCGAGAACATATGTCTTTGGTTTTGGGGAGCTGGAGAACCATGGCACCAGAAACATCATTCCTCAAAGAGAAAGAGACAGAGGGGTGCATGAGGGAGATGGCTTCCACCCGCTGCCTAACCTTCTCAAACTCTAGTCTAGGGTCCATGCTCTTCCTCCTCACAGGGAACTGGGAGAACAGGTTATACACGGTTACTGTGGTCCCCACGCTGGGTCTAGTCAGATCTGCTTCACAAGCATTTAGGGCTTTCCCGTTCTGAAACATCTTCACAAAGGTTTTCATAGCCATGCTTTTCTTGGATGAAATTTCCACAGCACTCGCCATGTCGGCGATACTTGCCAAGGCCTCTCCTCGGAAACCATGGAACTTTGGGTTCTCCAAGTCCTGTATTGAGCTGCATTTGCTAGTAAAATACCGGTTTCCCACCTTCTCTATCTCATCACCCGCCATCCCAAGTCCATTGTCTATCACTTGGACTTGGAAGGTTTCCATATTCACCCTGACGGCCACACATTTTGCTTCCGCATCGATACTGTTGAGGATAAGTTCCTCGACACATTGGCCCAAGGAGATTATGGCCAAACCGGAACGCAGTTTGGCTTGGACTTCATCTGACAAGCACTTGATCATGGCAGGGAGACATGTGGAGAGAATGCCAGACGCGGGCTTCCTTCTCTGACTGGAAATAACCACCTATGAAAAAAACAAAAACAAAGAACACACAAACCCTATCAAACCTCGATTATATAGCATTACTGACTTCTCTCAAGTATTATGAAGAACTACAGTTTGAGGAAAATAAAATATTAAACCAAAATATGAAACAGAAGTATACATCTAATTTCTGGACAGCACATAAAACTCATGCTGGTATAATGGACCTCGATTCCAAAGAAGCATTCATAATTTCATAATTTTCCCTGTTCCTAAAGTGAATGCCCTAAAGAGAAACCATAATTATACTTGATGTTGACCCGTAAAGACACTATTCAAAATTCTAAGCACTTCACTAAAAACAGATGCCTAAATTAAATTCAGCTAAGAAACGTTAGCTAGAAATTATTCATGAAAAAGATCCAAGCTTGTTTCATAACTCTTATACATTACACAATATCCATGGCTTTCAGAAAAACTTTAGTGTGCTAAGACACTGTAAGAAAGTGAGACAACGGGACAGAATTAAAGTCAAACATATCAAGGAGAGACAGGTAGTAAGCGATTAGATCGTCACAATTACTTTCTGAGGAGAGGCGGGGAGGGGGCGGCGTGGGGGCTAAAGCAGGGAAATTCCTTTGCCTGTAAGTTTTCTACCATTTGCTGTTTAAATCCTGCTGTTGCTTGATAGTTCGCTGAAAAGTCCTGATTACTAATATTCTTTTGTACTGATACGCTCGGTCCCTATATATCCCCAGAACACAACATGGCAATAATAATGATGGTATGGGGTGGTCTGAACTGATTTCAAGTTTTCTTGCAAGTGCAAACAAATCCTAAGAGTCTAGGTCTTTAGAGGTCTCACTTCCTTCTTCATAAACGATAACAGCAGAGCTGGTGGCCGGGCTAGCTTTTTAAAGCCTGGGCAAACTGGGGCTACGTTTGCTTTCTAAGACAATGAACTTAGCGGCCGTTGGCAAACGGGGTGAATGTTTAATAAGCATTCTGATTACTACAGTCCCAGGGTCTAGACAGTCCAGCTTCCCGTGCAGGAAGCTCGCGCCTGCGCAGTCCACCCGCCCCGCCGCTCCCGAGGCCCCTCCTTCTGGGGGGCCCCGCGCTCCTCCAGGCAGGCCCGCGGCCGTCACCACAGCTCTTCTGGTGTTAGACGAGCTCACGGGGCCAGATTTCAACACGCGCTTTCCCCCTTCACCTCGAATCTCCTCCATCAACTCTCGGGACCAACCGCTTCCGATGCCGGACGCGCGCTCTAGAGCATGCGCTTCCGAGACGCCGCGAGCCTGGGTCTGCACGACGTCTCGTGCGCAGGCGCCAAGGTGGCCCAGCTGAGAACTTGGCTCCTTCACCTGACTAGTTCTAATTAGTGCTCGCGCCCTAGTCTCTTTTGGTATTGGGTGATAGGCTGTTTCCAGTAAGTTTTGGTTTGTTCCCTTTCTCGTTCTCTTCTTCTTTGCAGGTACTAATATTTCGTTCCACTTATATTTTACTTGTTTCCTTAGTCTTTGTTCGCTAGATTGTAAACTGCGAAGGTGGCCTTTGCTTTTGTATACTGCCGCGACCTGGTGGCAAGTAGACATCAGAGAATGCAGAATGTTCTTAGAATTAATGCTAAGAAGTCAGACCTCCTCTTCTCCCTCGCCCTCTCCTTTGATTTTTCAAGACAGGATTTCTCTATGTAGCCCTGGCTGTCCTGAAACTCACTTTGTAGACCAGGCTGGCCTCAAACTCACAGAGATCCACCTGCCTCTGCCTCCCTCTACCCTCTTAATTTGCAAATCAGAATGCCAGGATTCCCTTCATTGATTTTATTTCTTTTTTTTTAATTTTCCCAATACCACCACTGCTTTTTCCTAACTGAAGGAGAACAGAACTCTTAACAACACAGCGAGAATGTTTTGGGAATTATTAAACTAGCCTCACTTTTTTTGCCTTCTGTCTCATTTTCACTGAAACCTCCTCTCTTGGGCCTTGCAACTTTTTTTTTTAAAGAATTATGTATTTTACATATATGGATTTTTGTCTGTAAGTACATCTGCACACCAGAAGAGGGCATCTGATCCCATGGGACTACAGTTGCAGACAGTTGTGCATTGGGAATCGAACTCAGGACCTCTGGAAGAGCTAACAGTGTTCTTAACTGCTGAACCACCTCTCCAGGCCACCCCTCCTCCCTTTAATGGAAGTTACGACCAACTTTAAAATAAGTATGTATTTGTTTAGTTACTAATCAAACCAAATCAGACTTCTGAGGCCAAGGAACAAGATTCTAATTATTGCTCAGTTTGCCAGGGCTCCATGACAAAAGGCCACAGGCTGGGCACCTTAAGTAGCAGTTTTTTCCGCTGCCGGTTCTGGGAAGAGTCTGAGAGTAAGGTGTCAGCCAGGGTTTCCTCTGAAGCCTCTTCTTGGGTTGCAGCTGGCTGTCTTCACATCCTTTGAGCACACACACCAGTCGAGCAGGATTGGTACTTGGGTTAGGGTCTGAACATACAAATGAGGGGAGGGAACAGAGTCCAGCCCATAACTACTTTATGCAATTTTCTAACCCATGGAAAAGCAATGAAAGCGGATGTTCCAAGAACCTGAAAGCCAAAAGTCCAGCACATCATCTGAACACTTCCAGCCAGACCTGGTGGCTTTGTTCTTTCCACACATTTAATCTGAAGAAACTGAGTAACAATTCACAGACTCTCACAGTCTGTGAATTGACTCTCACAGTCATTTCTTCCCCTTCAGACCTCTTTAAACTACGACAAGTCTTCCTCTCATAACACTGATTGAATACATCATGTTGCCCAAAAGTTCACTAAAGATTTAAGCACAATAAGCATAAGGTTCTAGTGTGTTTTTATTGGTTAGAATTGTACACAATTGCATTCCATCATACATGTAATACATGGTAACTTTCAAATGCACAGCTAAAATAACTTACAAAATCTAATACTGAGCACAGAATAGTGCTTTATCAGTAAAAAAAAAAGGAGGGAGATAATTTTGAAAATATTAAATTCAGGTCATTATTTTACAATTTGAAAATCTGAATAATCCAGCTTTGAGATGACTTTCTCATTGTTGAAGTTCGCTCTGTCGATGTGGGATTTGGGACTTCCTCTCTTCTCCAGCCATTCCTGCATGCTCCGCACTTTGGAGATGGGGCCTTGCAACTGTCCTTGCACGGTGCCCCGATCGGTGTTCTGGACCCAGCCTACCAAACCTAGCTTTTTGCCCTCAGCCTAAGCGGGGAGAGAAGAGAAAGAGCGATCTAGTGAGGTTGCAGAGAACAAAGTGAGGCTGCACTCTGTGGCCAGAATCTTGGCCTGGAGTCAAACCACTGAGACTAATTTGACAATGTCCAGAAAAATCAAAGCAGACACCAAGGAGAATCCTGTGACTTTAACATCAAGAGTAGCTACTCGATTCCACTTCCTTTTTCATTCTCCAAAACTCAGCGCTGAATTCCTGACAACTTCCATTATGCAGTAATGAGCACGGTTAGGATTAAAGAGTAAGCCCCGAAAGATGCCTTTAAAATGCTTTCCTAAGGCTGACTCTTCTGGGCTCCTGGCCTTGCAGCTCCTTCATTTCTTTTCTTTTCTTGAGACAGTTTCACTATGTAACATTGGCTGACCTAGATGGAACTTATCAGGTAGTCCCAGCTGGCCTCAATCTTCCAGCCATCCTCCTGCCTCTGCCCTCTGAATGCTGGGATTAGAAGTGTGCACTATCCTGCCCAGCCAAGTAAACTGAAGTGGGAGAGACCCTGAGTGGGTTTTGTGTGTGTGTGGGGGGGGGTGTTTTGTTTTGTTTTTCCGTACAGGGGCTTTACCTAGGGCCTTGTACATGCTACCTAGGCAAGTATAACAGCTCTAAGATATACCCCAACCCTCATTTTCTTGTCTCTTAATCAGCAATCTCCTGGGTGCATTAAACAGAAAAAGCTTGAAGTTACTTGATCCTTCCCTTTGCCTTTAGCCAGGACCACACGTAAATGAATCCAGATGAAGCGATCCTTTGTATCTTTAAAGATCATTACACAGTATTTCACAATTTCCTGGGCAACACAACCGTTGTTTTTACTGCAGAGGTCTCTCTAACCCAACATGTTTACATTGCACCAAAAGCCCACTTTATGTCATATTTGGTAGAGAAGGAAAGCAGCCGAGATTGGGCTCTGACACTAAGGGGTTCACGAGGCCCTGTGGCTATCATGCTTCCATCTGACTTGTTAAGTCATGGGCCTGGCCACTGACGACACTGGCTGCTCTAAGAGACCAAACAGGCAGCCTGGAGAAACCAGGCCATGTCCCTGCTACAGCTCTCTCTGGACCAAGAATTTAAAAAGCCATGCTGTGTTATAGCTTCAGAGCTCACAGCCTCTAATATATGGTCCTATCTGGTTTCTCGTTCCTCCATGTTCTTACTCCTGTAGACTGTCCTATACTAAATCCTAAAATAACTGACAAATTCTAATACTGAAAAGACAGAAGAGTCAGATATTTTCTTTTGTTTGGGGGGTTTTATTGAAGGTTCCATCTGTGGTGGCTATCTCTGTTTTTTAAATATTTTTAATTATGCATATACAGAGAGGGTGCAGTATGTGAACGTGTTGAGTGCTGGTTCCCATGGAGTCTAGAGGAGGGTGGTGCCAGGCTCCTGGAGCTAGAATTAGAGGTGGTTATGAACCACCCTATGTGTGCTCTGGCAACAGAACTTGAGTCCTTTGGAAGAACAGTGAAGGTTGCTGAGCCATCTTACCAGGCTCCTAGGTTACCCTTCTTAACAATACTCCTCTCCATTACAAAAACGTACTTTTAATTTACGTTTACTTATTTATTAGGGTGAGGCGTGCATACCGTAGCACAGTGTGGAGGTCAGAGGACTGCCTGCAGAGGCCTGCCCCTCCTCCACCTCGTGGGTCCTGGGGACTGTTGAACTCAGTCCACCGGGCTTGGGGGCAAGTGCCTTTACCCACTGAGTCACCTTACCAGAAAGCCTGGAAGCCCTGACATGTTGCCTGATCTGATGTACTGTCTGTCTCTCATACTGCTCTCCTACCTCGAGGCATGGCCACAGACCCCCACCGTCACAAGGTTCTCCCAGTAAAGCTCATGTCTAAAAGGAATCTCATGCCAATTCCCTTTCCAATCCTGCTGCTCCTTATCCAAATTTTTTTTTCTGTCTAATAAGTAATCACAAAGTCTTTAAAGCTGAACATGAGGGAGCTGGAGAGGTGGCTCAATGGTTAAGAGCACTGGCTGGTCCTCAAGAAGACCTGGGTACAATTCCCAGCACCCACAAGACAGCTCACAACTGTCCATAACTCAAGTTGCAGGGGATCCGACATTCTCACACAGACATTCATGCAGGTAAAACACCAATACACAAAAAATTTAAAAATTATTTAATTAAAAAAAATAAAGTTTCTGGGTAATGGTGGTGCACGCCTTTAATCCCAGCACTCAGGAGGCAAAGGCAGATGGATCTCTGTGAGTTCAAGGCTGCCTGGTCTACAAAGTGAGTTCCAGGACAGCAATGGTTATTACACAGAGAAACCCTATCACAAAAAATCAAAAATCAATAATAATAATAATAATAATAATAATAATAATAATTAAGAAAAAGAAAACAAATGCTTACAAATCTACAGATAGAAAAAATTCTAAAAGCGAGGCAGTGGTGGAACACGACTTTAATCCCAGCATTCTGAAGACAGAGGCAGGAGGATCTCTTGAGTTTGGGGCCAGCCTGGTCTACACAGCCAATTCCAGGACGGCCGCTAGAGCTATACAGAGAAACTCTGTCTTGGAAAAGAAAAGAAAAGGAAAGGAAAAGAAGAGTCCCCAAACAGCATTTCATTATCAGTATTTGCTTTTCTGTATTCTAAACTGTCTCCAAACTTGGGGTGGAGGTGGGGCAGGTAGAGAAAGATGCCCTGTAATATGTGTTCCCTTTTCCTCAACAACGTAGATCACCACCATTTACGAAATCACAGGAACCTGCCCTGCATAAGCAGTGGTAACGTTAACTCAAACCTCGCTCTGACTTTCAGCATTTGACAGGTGCTTCACAAACGAACACAAAACAGAAAGACGGGTTTGTCAGTGAGTGGAGTAGGAGGTACTGACCACTGACTCCCTCTTCAGAGGCTCAGGTCGGAGTTTTCAGCATCACAGTCCCAGCAACATGACATTTGGAGCAAAGTGCTGAGGACAAATACCTTTTTTTTTCTTCTTCGAGACAGGGTTTCTCCGTAGCTTTGGAGCCTGTCCTGGAACTAGCTCTTG